AAGGAGTATTAGCCTGTAGTTCTCAAACTCCAGTGTGCACCTGCGTGCTTTGGGGGACGTGTTCAAACCCAGATGCTGCAAGGTCTGGGTGCTACCTGTAAATTGCCTTTGTCTTGTGACTTTCATGTGAAACTTAGGATGTGTGGCTCTGCTGACCGACCACTCATACCCGGAAGCTAAGAATGTCTCCAGACAGAATCTTGGGACCTAAAATAGATTCTCCTGATTCACTGTAGTCTACTGACATGACGTTCCCTCCAATGTATTTGCTAACCGCTTTGGGTTATGACTTCCTTTGTTCTGGAATTAGCAAAACTTCATAAATCTGTCTCCTCGGTGTAGAAGGTTATCCGGGGAAACCTGAATCTGTGTTTCTGGGTGTGTTAGGGTTCTCTAACAGAACAGATTGATGATTGTAGAATAGAGATTTTATTAGACTGGTTCACAGCTGTGACCTGGGTAGTCCAGCAATAGCTGTCTCATGACCGAAAAGGTGAGAATCTCGGTAGATGGTCAGTTCATGATGCTGGATGTCACAGCAGTCCCAGTCTGGGGCTGGAGTCCTGGATGATTCCTGGAGAGCTGCTGATCATGTCTGTTGCAATCCTAAAGAAGTTGGTTTGAATGCTGGTAAAGGGAATGCCTCAGCAATGGCATAAATAAACAGTCTCGCCAGAGAGTGAGAGCAAGCAGGCAAAAATCAAAGTTCCTTTTTTTCACTTCCTTTTATCTGGGTTTCCACCAGAAGGTGTGGCCCAGATTAAGGGTGGGTCTTTCTTCTTCAAATAATCTGATTAAGAAGATCCCTCACAGGTGTGCCCAGCAGTTTAGGCCCAATTAATTCCAAATGCTCAGTTGATAACCAATTTTAGCCATCATGTAGGGCCATGCTCATTCATGTTTTAGCTAAAGAGTAAGCTACCTTCTATACTCTACGTCATAAAGATGAAGGCTGCATTTGAGTCAACATCGTTCCCATTTCCAGGTGATATAGGAATCCCCTGCATGTGGCTTTAGCACCACTGACCAGTCAGAAATAGCATCATTATCCTTGTAACTTGATACCTTAAGTGTACACCAGAGCCACCTGGAGGCATGTTAAAACAGTTTGCTGGGCCCATTTGAGTTTCTAATTTAGTGGGTCTGAGATAACGCTGCTGACCCATAGCTCATACTCTGAGATCTTTAAAGGATCAATTTGTGCCGGGTGGTGGTGGCGCACACCTTTAATCCCAGCAACGGGAAGACAGAGGCAGACAGATCCAAGTTTAAGGCCAGCCTGGTGTACAGAGCCAGTTAGGACAGCAGCCAGGACTATACAGAGAAACCCTGTCTCAAAAAAAAAAAAAAAAAAAAAAAGGATCAATTTGCAAGAGGTGTGGGGAGGAGGCTCAGCTGGTAGGGTGATGGTTTAGCATCCACAAAACCCTGGTTTCTAGTCCCAGAACCACATAAACCAGTGGTGGCCCATATCTGTAATTCCAGCAATCTGTAGAAGAGGCAGAGGCAGGAGGACCAGAAGTTCAAGGTCATTCTTGGCTACAGCAAGTTGGAGGCCAGAATGGAATACATGAGGCCCTGTTTTATTGGTTTTTTTAAAGTCAATTTGCAGATTGTCAATTTCCAGCTGTACAGTTTGTATTTGGATGATGCCTGGAGTCAGATGGCCCCTTTCCACCTTCCCTTTCACAGTCACAGTCACCATTTTTCCTCATGGACTGCTGCCCTAGAGTAGGTGCCAAACAAACAGGAAGGTGCCAGGAGGCAGCAGATACCCTGCAGGAGGCCCTGGAAGAGAGCGCCATGAAGAGACGAGGATGAGCTTTGTGAGATGATGGGTCTGCTTTTTCACTGAGTGCTGCTCACATGGCGGTGTGTGCCATTCCCCAGGAGTCTGTACCTGTGCACCTCAGTAAAGAAGGCACTGGAAGCCCAAAGAAATGATGCCACTGAAGTTCAGCTCAGTGAACCAGTGAGTTGGAGTTATTTATAGGAAGGTGAGTGATCCCCCAAACAGCTGCACTGCCCCCAAGCCCCACTGCAGCATAGGTGCATAGACAGGAGCTCCCCCACCCTTTACTTACCCTTCCATCTACTGTAGACACTCCAGCATCTGCTAAGACAGTCTGGAGCTGGGCAGGATTATGTGCAGCTGAGGTAAGAGTGGAGGGAACAGCTGTCATTTCAGGTGGGGGCCTGATGACCCTCCCCACACCCTCCTTCTCTGAGGGCACTTGAACAGATTTGATCCAGGGAGGGTCTCATGTGAGTAATTACAGATTACAGTTGGTCTCTTTTCAAGATGGCAATGGCCGTAGCCTGCCCAGAGAACTGTATTCCACAACACAAGGGCATGTTCAGCGTGAACCGTCTGTACCCTTTTCTGTGGGTATGTTATAGTTTCACAAGTCTTCTCAAAAAGAGAAGAAAATTGGGCTGGAGAGATGGCTCAGAGGTTAAGAGCACTGACTGCTCTTCCAGAGGTCATGAGTTCAATTCCCAGCAACCACATGGTGGCTCACAACCATCTATAATGAGATCTGGTGCCCTCTTCTGGCCTGCAAGCATACATGTAGGCAGAACACTGTATACAAAATAAATAAATCTTCAAAAAAAAAAAAAAAGAGAGAAGAAAATTACATCAGTCTTGTTGCACCATTTCATGGACACTTTGACTTATTGGCTAGGTCACAGCTTACTTAGTTCTCAAGCTTAGAAACAGAATTCAAAAGGTAAGGGCAGAATTTGTCTGTCTGGCACAACCCCCACCCAACATGACCTAAACACTGAGTCGGCGAGAGAATGAGATGAGTTGGTTCTCTCAGGACAATGCCTGCATACTTATTCAAATTGAAAAATGATGTCAGACTGCTCCTGATAGTATTCAAGTCTGGCTTGGCAGACTGGTCTGCCTCTGAGGACCAGCTTTGCCTCATGAGGAGGTCAGCTTAGGATGCATTTTTCATAAATGAAATGACCTAAGGCAGCATCCCTATAGTTTAGGTGAAATAGATTTAAAATAGTGATTATAGTATAACAAAAAAAAGACATTTTGCCAATAACTTTGAGATTAAGAATTGGGGCTACCTAGTTTTTTAGAAATTATTTTGGGGTGCATATATGCAAAACCACTGCAAACTATTCATTTTGAGACAGGGCCTTGCTGTATAGCTCAGGTGGCCTCAAACTCTCAAATCTCCTGCCTCAATCCTCTGAGTACTGGGATCAGCTGTATACTCCTACGCCAAGCTTGAAGATCACATAAGTCAGTCCCCGCCTCCCTCCCCCCGCCCCCCCCCCCCCCCCCCCCCCCCCCCGCTGCCCCCACTGTGACAAGTTACCAGAAATCTAACACAGTACAATTTCTTACACTTCTAGAGGTCAGGGGTCCAGCACAGACCCACTGGACCAAAGTCACAGTGCGAGCAGGGGCATCTGGAGAAGGGAGAAGCTACTGTTTTGCCTCTTCTAGCTTCTGGAAGCTTCTTGCATTCCACAGCATACATCTCCCTCCATCTTCAAGCTAACAATGGCTACTTGAATCTTCCTCATGATACTACCTCCAATTTTCTTCCAATAAGGATGGTTGTGGTTACACTGGGCCTGCCTAGATAATCCAAGACATATTCTTTTAAAGTTAGCTGATTAGCCTGGCCGTGGTGGCACACACCTTTAATCCCAGCACTCGGAAGGCAAAGGCAGGTGGATCTCTGAGTTCGATGTCAGTCTGGGATAATGAGCAAGTTCCAGAAAAGCCAGGGCTACACAAAGAAACTCTGTCTCAAACAAACAAACAATAAATAAAATCAGCTGATTAGAAACTTTGATTTCCCCTTGTCAAATTCCATCATATATTCCTCGGCTCTGGGGACTAGGGTATGGATATCTTGGGGAGACCATCATTTTACCTGTCACACCAGTACTCTACTCACCCTTATAGACACTAATTTCTTCACAGAGGCTAATTCCAGGCCCTCCTGGCTTGCTTTGAATAAGCTGCAGTGTAATCTAGTAACATATATCCAACACTCAATAAAACAAACGCACTGCTGGGCAGTGGTGGAGCACACCTTTAATCCCAGCAGTTGAGAGGCAGAGGCATACAGATCTCAGTGAGTTCGAGGTCAGTCTGGTCTACAAAGTGAGTTCCAGGATGGTCTCACAGAGAAACCCTGTCTCAAAAAAAACAAACAAACAACCCACACAAGCCTATAGTGTCCAACCTCGTCAAATATTTACGTAGTGACAAGCCATTGGCATCACTTTCCATAGCCGATACTATGTAAATTGCCCGCACCTCTTCTGCCTTCATCTTATTTTTTTTCTCTATCCCCCATCACTTTAATCCCCTCACTTAAAATTACATTTGTGTGTATACGTGTGAGTGAACATGTCACGGCAGGTATGTGGAGACCACAGTAAACTTCTGGCAATTGAGTCTTTGCACTTGACATGTGGGCCCCAAGAATTGAACTCGGGTTCCTGGGCTTGGAGGCAAATGCCTGCTGAGCCATCTTGCCAGTCCTACTCCGCTCGTTTTAAATAACTGACACCTTGTGGTATTTTCCAACCCAAACGCAAGTTTTCTGGGAAGCGGAGATAGACAAGGGCTAATCTGGGGCTAGCTCGTACTTCTGTTTGACTTCCAGAAGGTCCGGCGAGAGGTTTTACAGCGCCATATCGGGCCGTCCAAGGGACAAAGACCTCGGTACAGGTAAGGGGGCTAAGATGGGCTGTGGTCTGGGAGGAAAGCCCGCAAACCCTCAGCCTTCCACTCCCACGCGACAAGAGCAAAGGAAGACGGTGGGAGCGCTCACGAGACCTGCCCTCGTGCAGCACAGTTGGCGGGTGGCGGGTAAGAGTCCGCACCACAGCTCGGTCAGACAAGCTTCTCCATTGGCTGGTCGCAGCGTCCATCACAGCTCCGCGGTCTGTCATTGGCCGGCTCCAGGCAGAGGCGGAGTTCATGATCAGCTGTGTGCCACATGCTCCACGTAAAAAAGGGCGCGGCGCGAGTTCTGGTGTGGCCATGGCGAGCGTGGACGAGGGTGGGCGCAGGAGGCCTCGACTGGCAGCGTCGCTGCAGATCAGCCCCGGACCCTGGAGGCCCTCGGGAGACCAGGAGTCCACGGAGGCTGGGGGCAGGGCACCTGGGACCCCTGAACCTGGGGTGGTTAGGGAGCAGGAGGCCCGCGAGGAGGCCTGTAAGGCCCCGAGGGGCTCGGTCCTGCGCGCGGGGGCCGCGGGCGACTTCCTTATGGACACCCGGGGGCTTAGCCTGCTGCCCAGGGACCCGCCCCCAGTGCAGGCGGTGGCCCTGCTCACTCAGTGCGTGGCTAACCTGGGCATCTCTCTGACCTTCCTGGAGGACCAGACCGCAGGTGGGGCCTGGGACAGGTGTGTGTCTGTTGTGGGGTGAAGGAGCCACTAATTAATGCAGGAAGGTCAGGCTTCCTCCAGTGACCTGCTGAGCTGGCCACGATGAGCCTGGGGTCCCCGAGGTAAACCCCATTTACAAAGGAGCGAGGTGAACAGCTTGAACGGTCTGATGCCTTCAAGGCCACAGCTAAGCAAATGTCTCCATCGGCCACCTCTGGGGAAAAGGGCTAGTTTCACGCAATCACAGTTGTCTGGGTTGGAGACTGCACCTTGCTCATGGGGAGTGCCACTGTCCCGAAAAGGATTGCACACACCTGAAGGAACTTAAGTGTGTTCGTATCCTTGGATCAGGTGACCCAATTCTGGGATTTTTTTTTTTTTTTTAACCTGCTCTTGGGCTGTTACACCTGAGTTGATGGTGTTGAACCGAAAGAGCTTTTTAAGAGGAGGGTCCCTGGAAGAGAAAAATAAAAGGCTGAGTCTGGTGGCAGGCAGGAAGCTGTCCCATATGGGGTGGGGAAACTTCCTCCTATGCTACCTCCCCCAAAGTGCCTACCCTTCCTGTCATTCATGCTTGTTCCAGAAGGCTCTGTGAAAGCCAGGTTGAGTTAGCAACGGGGGTTAGCGTGGAAAGACTCAAACCACCTGCTGACTGTAGAGTGCCCACCTAGTGTGCTAGACCCTCCTTGTTGATCTGGTTGTCATCTGTTATCAGGGGTCAGGAGGAGGCTTAAGGGGAAGGAGGAGGCTAGGGTTGATAAATCCCCACTAGAAATGGTAGAGATGGGGCTGAGGGCCAGGAGTCGCCTTCCTCAAGATCTCTTCCCCAGGTCCAGACTCCTCATTCTCTGTGTGTGCAGAGCTGGATGGGTTGGTCTGTCCTGCGGGAACAGGGAAAAGCAAGATGGAGGCCAAGCAGCAGGCAGCGCTCTCTGCCCTTCAGTATATCCGGAAGCATCTGGAAAGACCAGGTAGCCAAGGCCTGACTGGGGTGAGCCACTGTGGGTGTGTGTGGGGTGTGTGTGCATGTGGTGTGTGCATGTGGGGGTTAGGAGCATATGGTAGGGTGTGTGTATATGTGGTGTGTGCATGTGGGGGTTAGGAGCATATGGTAGGGTGTGGGGGGGGGGGAGGGTGGGAGTGTATGGTAGGGTGTGTGTGGGGGTGTGTGTGGGTAGGGGGTGTAGTGTGTATGGTGGAGTGTATGTGTGTGTGGTGTGGGGTGTAGTGTGTGTGTGGTGGAGTATGGGGGGTGTAGTGGGGGTGGGGTGTGTGTATGGTGGAGTGTATGTGTGTGGTGTGGGGAGGTGTAGTGTGTATGGTGGGGGGGGTGTGGTGGGGTATGGGGGTGTAGTGTGGGGGGGATGTGGGTGTGTATGGCGGGGTGTGTGGGGGTGTGTGTTTGTGTGGTGTGTATGTGGGAGGGTGGGAGTGTATGGTAGGGTGTGTGGGGGTGTGTGTGGGGGTAGGGGGTGTAGTGTGTGTATGGTGGGGGTGTGTGTGGTGGGGTATGGGGGGTGTAGTGTGGGGGGGGATGTGGATGTGTATGGTGGGGTGTGTGTGTGTGTGGGGGTGTAGGTCTACAGCCCCATCTGGGCGTCAGCATGGAGAAATGGGCCGTCTCTGCTCTGATGTCCCACACTGGAGCTAGGGAGCCCAAGAGCAGCTGCTGGTGGACTCTGTGCCTGGAAGGTGGAGACTTGGCCTCCTCTGCTGGGCCTCCCAAAGGATGGGAAGACTCAGCACCCGTGCAGCTAGCTCCTCTTGTCTCTTTCAGAGCCCCCTGTGACTCCCCGCCGGTCTCTGCTCACCTCCCTCGGCACAGGTAGGCAGGCGCTTGGCTCGAACCCTGGTGTCCGCTCTCAGGGCAAGAGGGCAAGGTGGGGGAAGCATGACTTGTGGGTCCTGCACTGTCCTCTGGTCATTGCGCAGAAAATATCCTGACCCATGAGCAGCGCTGTGCAGCTGTGGTCAGTGCCGGCCTGGACCGACTGCTGAATGAGAGCTCGCCATACCAGGCCTGTAAGGGGACGGTGGCCGCAGTCATCCTGGAGAGGGGTAGGAACTGCCCTGCCCCCACCCCAGCTCTACACACAAGCTCAGGCTCCTGGCCTGAGTCTTCTGTCCCTTCCTGCACAGAGGTCCAAGGCACGGTTGGTCACTCCAAGGAGACCTACGAGCTGGTGGCGCTGGGCACGGGCAGCAGCAGCTATACCGGCTGGCTGGAGTTCTCCGGCCGACGGCTCCATGACTGCCATGGTCTGGTCATCGCCCGCAGGGCCCTGCTGAGGTGAGGAGCAGGCAGGCGGGGGTCTGCGGCAGGCTGCCTAGGACCATTACCCCACCCCACCCCCTGCCTGTCACTCCCAGGTTCTTCTTCCGGCAGCTCCTGCTGGCCACACAGGGGGGTCCCAAGGGCAAGGAGCGGTCCGTGCTGGCCCCCCAGCCTGGGCCTGGACCCCCCTTCGCCCTCAAGCCCGGGGTCTTCCTGCATCTGTATGTGAGCAACACCCCCAAGGGGGCAGCCCATGACAGCTAGTACGTGCCTGGGGCCGGTGGTCCATCCCTTGGTTTCATTGTGGGGGAGCCAGGGTGTAAAGAGTGTCCTGATTCTGGGCTTCTGGCCCCCTCCCCCCACCTCCACAGCTTTCCACTGGCCTCAGAAGACAGTGACCTGCACAGATCAGCCTTCCGCCTGCAGGTCCATGTCTGTGGGGAGCTGAAACCTGTATCCTATGCCGCACCCGCCCTCCGCAATACCCACGTGGGCTGCCTTTCAGCCAGTGACAAGCTGGCGCGGTGGGCTGTCCTTGGGCTGGGCGGTGGGCTGCTGGCCCACTTCCTGCCACCACTCTATGCCACCAGTCTTATCTTAGGTGAGGGGCACAAAGTGCTAGGGCAGAGAATGGGCTGTGAGTGGTGTGAGGATATGGTGGCTCAGGCCATGTCCTGTGCCTTCTGCCCACAGCTGACCCCTGCCATGACCCTCCAACTGTGAACAGGGCCATTCATTCCCGGCCTAGACTGGACAGTGTCTTGGGGTCATGTCTTCCAAATCCATATGTCCGCACCACCTTGCACCTGTTTGCTGGGCCTCTGGTGGCCCCCTCCGACCCCATGCCCAGTACCTGCCATGGCCTGAGCCTCAACTGGAGCCTGGGGGATCCTGACATCGAAGTTGTTGATGTGGCCACTGGATATGTGAAGGCTGAGTAAGGAGGGCCCTGTGGGACTGAGCCTTAGCAGGGTGCTCATGGGTAGGTAAGAGCACTGTGGTGACTTGTGCCTCCTGTGACTCTGATAACACAGGCACTGGGTAGGAGGAGATTGTGTGAGTGGCGTGGGCAGGCCTGCCTATTCCTTCCCAGTGACCACTGCATGTCTTCTCAGGGCCAGCATTGGACCCCCCTCCCGCCTCTGTAAAGCGGCCTTTCTCGCAGCGTTCCGCCAGGTTGCCAAAGCTCTGGAGAAGCCCCAGCTCCTGTCTCTGGATACCTATGAGGCTGCCAAGGTGGACTTCCTTTCTCTCCAACCCTTTCCTCCACTCACAACACTCTTAGCAGACAGACGCCTCACTCATCCTGTCTCCTCCTCTCCACACTAGGCTGTGCCCTACAGGGAAGCTCGCCAGCAGCTCTCTCTCCTGCTGGACCTGCAGGGCCTGGGGGCCTGGCCCTCAAAACCACTGGTGGGTAAATTCAGACACTGATCCAGACTTCGAGGGACAAGGACCCTAGTGGACTTGGACCTCTACAGTGGGAGGACCTACTGGGGGCCAAGCAGGGGGAGGTGGAAAGCATAGTCGGGGAGGGCAAGGCTAATTGGGGGGGGGGGGGTCCGGCAATACCTAGTAGTTGAAGAGTGGAGACTCTTGTATGTCTAGTTTGAATAAAGAAATGATCCCTAGTAGTCTGTGTGTTTGGGTGTGCTGAGGTAGTGGGTCATTGTGAGGAGCCTTTCATGCCACCACAAGTGGGTGCTCAGACCCTGCCCTCCAGAACTGCTCTGCCTTTATCCAGTTTGCAGACCTGAAAGTAGACTTGGGAGGGTCCGAATGCTGACGCAGGTCCAGGTGGAGCAGGAGGGCGGTCTGGGAGCATTTTCTTGTCTGTGAGGCCCGAATCCCTTCCTTTCTGAGGATTAGGCTTGGGGAGCTAGGAATACATGGGTCCTATGCTGGCTCTTGTGGTGTTTTGTGGGTTAAGTGTCCATATTGAAGGATGCGGGGTGGCAGCAGGCACCGGGAGTCCTTTCTCTGGGACACTTGGCTGCAGAAGCCCGCTGCCCACTGTGGAGAAGCCAGCACTTTTCAGTTGCAGGGTGGATGCTGCCTCCTCCCTTCCCTCCAGGGTGCCACAGTGGATGCAGAAGGAAAATGGTTGTATCTGCAAACCTGGGGCCCTGCCAGTTCAGGGAGCTGGTGTTGGCCCTGCACCCCCATTCTACAGCCCAAAGCTCTCCGCATCCCCCTCCTTTCCTGGTTCAGAGCACACTGACATGGAGAGGCCCGGTTAAGCTGGTCAAGGCTGCTGTTGTTGATGTCTAGTGTTCTGTGGGAACATGGCCGGCTAAGGGATGCACACGTGTCCTGGGCATCTGAAGCAGTTCTATGGAGCAGCGTTTAACTCGGGGTGGGTAAAGAGGGACATGTGCAGGACATGGCAGACCGGAGCAGCAGTGCTGGAAGGTATGAACTGGCATTCTTCTCCGGTGTGGACACAAGTGCTTTGGTGCCTGGGCCTTCAGATTGGAACCAGGGATTAGAACATTGGTACTCTGGTTCTGCCTTTGGGCTTAAACTAGAGCAGCCCAGGCATTCAGATAGCCAATCAGATGACTCCCCAGCCTCAACAGTGTTGCTCATTCTAACAACCCTGTGTCTGTGTGTCCTGTTGGCCTCTTGATCTGTCTCTCTGTTGGCCATTAACTGATACAGATGGCTCCTACCAGAGCTGTTATTCAGGGCCAGGTTGGTCTCTCTGTCTACCTTGTGTCCCATGGTCAGCCTCTGAGCCCGTGTGCACACTGGTAGACTTGTGGAGAGAGATACCAGTCCCTGTATCTACAGGTCACACGTCTGCAGAGTCAAATGGCAGCAGATCAAAACACCATGGCAGAAAAATCCATGTGTGCCTGTTGTTTGTTCCTTTGGGGGGGCCCATCACCCATCTCCCAAATAGTCACTCATGGAGGCTTAGTCTTAATTATAAAGGCCTGGACTTAGCTTGGCTTGTTTGTTGCCAGCTTTTCTTAAATTAACCTGTCTTTTGCTCTGGGCTTTTACCTTTTCTTACTTCTGTAACCATTCTTACTCTGTTGCTGGTCATGTGTAGCTGGGTGGCTGGCCCCTGATGCCCTCCTCCTCCTCCCTCTACTTCTTCCTCCCAGATTTCTCCTTCTATATATTCTCTCTGCCTGCCAGCCCCGCCTATCCTCTCTCCTGCCTTGCTATTGGCCGTTCAGTCCTTTATTAGACCACCAGGTGTTTTACACAGATACAGTATCACAGCTTCACAAAGTTAAACAAATGCAACATAAGCAAAAGTAACACACCTTAAAATATTCCCCAACATGTACCTGATTTGTAGATTCCATTGCTCCCTAGACAACCCAGCCTGACACCTATTTATATAGTGTTCATGCCTCACTCTGTATTATAGATGATTCTGAGAGGAACTGAAGCATGCAGGAGGGAAGCTCTGGGGTAGAGCCCCTTTGCCAGGTCTAGCTCCCACCTTGCCAGGCTGGGCAAAAGTTATATGAGAATACTGTAATGTATTTTAGTATTTTTGTTTAGATTGATATACAAAAGTGATTGGTTGGTTGATCTTCCCCTCCCACAGCCTTCTGTCATCTTGTCGGTCTCACCCCACTCCCACCCCACCCCTGTCCCAGCCTCACTTCCTCCTCCTGCTGCTGCTGCTTGTCTTTTTAACCCTCCCCTGAGGAGACTTTTAATCCCCCTGAGATTGAACATTTCCACAGCTACTAAGGAAATCAGTGTGGTGGGTTTCTCCAAAAACAACTTCCATACAGGCCAGCTGTACACTCCTGGGTGTTTACCCTAGAGTCTGAGTCCTACCACAGGGGGATCTGCATGTCCGCATTCATCGCTGCTCTATTCACAAGAGTCAGGAAACGGAGCCAGTCCAGATGTCTGTCAACCGATGAATGAATAATGAAAGTGCAGTACATGGACACAATGGAGTTGTGTGTAGCCGGAAAGAACAGTGAAATGGCATTTGTAGGAAGATGGGTGGAACTGAGAGTTATTTTAAATGAAGTGTCTCCACCCAGATCTAGAAGACAAGTGTGTGTGTGTGTGTGTGTGTGTGTGTGTGTGTGTGTGTGTGTGTGTGAAGGTGCAGGAGAGACCAGAGGTTGACACTGGATACCTTCCTCAATTGCTTCCACCATGTTTTGAGATAGGGTCTCATGTAGTCCTCGGGTTCCGTGTCTGGGCTGGGCTGGCTGGCGGCCACTGAGCCCCTGGAACCCTCCTGTCTCCACTCCCCGTGCAGGCACTGCCACAAAGCTTTAATTTTTAAACTAAAAAAAAATTGTGTGTGTGTGTGTGTGTGCGTGTGCGTGTGTGTAGGGGAGCATACACACAACCTCTCACAGGTGGAAGCCAGAGGACAGCTTTCAGAAAGTCGATTCTCTCCTGCCATATGGGTCTGGGGAAGTGAACTTAGGTCACTGGGTTTGAAGGCCCTAGGTGCTGGCCCTAGGTGCTGGGGACTGAGCTTAGGCCCTCATGCTTGTGTGGCACTCTGCAGGATAGCTGTGGTCATCTTTACAAGGTGAGGCAGGCCTCCTGGAAGAACACAGCGAGGGCTGCCCGCCGTCTGTACTCTCCCATCTCAGTAGCCGCCAGGGCTGCTGGACTCTTTACCGTGACCTTGGATTTGACTCAACCTCTCTGAGCCCTATTTTGCTGACCTATAAAAAGAGGACCAGGTGAGGTGACTGCTAGTTTCCTCCTGGCTCAGCTGTTCCTGCCTTCATTCTGCAGCTCTGGGCTGCTGTGGAGATCTGCATCCCTCCCAGTCAGATCCACATGCTTGGAGAGGTCAGGTAGAGCCAGGGTCATCAGGCTAAGCAAAGGTCAGCAGGCAGGGGGGGGGGAGGGCTGCAACAGAGAATTGAGTCCTCAGGAGCCCGCCAGGTAAAGGCCTCGGTGAGCCTCTTGTTGAGAAAGCCTTCTTCTTGTCACTTTTGAAATCATTTCTCATGCTTATGATTTTCCAGAGATGAGGGCTCTGGAAACCCCACATCTATTCATTAGCCCACTTACTACCCACTATTTGCCCCGGGAGACAACTTAAGTTGATTGACTATTCCTACCGCAGTGGTGATGGCAGCCAGGCCCAGAAATGGATCAGCCACTCTGCTTCGGTTTTATGTCCCCGAGCCCACGGTACCCATTAATCACATAATCACTGAGTAAACAAGTTATTCAAAATGACATTAACTCTGCTGTGATCTGCCAAGAAGTACTCTTTGTCCCTTCGCTGTCCCTATGGGCCTGCCGATCCTTCCCTCCCCAGCCAGTCTTTACCTTACACAGTATCTGCCTAGCTCCCTTCACTGGACTCTATTATCTCAGGGTGACGTAGTCTGTTAATGTCTTCTTGGCCTGATCCCCCACCGCCTGGGGGAAGTTTTGCTGACAGTAGCATATTTAAATTGGGAGCTGATGTAACCTATCCTGGCACACTCCTCTGCAAGGCTTCTTGGGTGTCTTCTTCAGCTTCCAGCCCCCTTCCCTACAGCCCTAGCCTGTGGGAACTTTTCTGGACCTCAGCAGGCTCTGCATCATGCTGTCTGTCTCTGGGTTTCATCTCCATTCCAGTGGCCGAGTATGCACCTAGTAGAAGCATGGACTCAGGGGACCAAGGCTCTATTCTGCCTTCCTAGGTCCCCTGTGTGGCAAGTGAATATGAATCCCAGCCATCCAGGCTGCAAGCTGATGGTGGGGTTCAGCCAGGAGTAGATGGGGCTGTTCCTGGCTCCTGACTGTCTTCAGGTCCCGTCTGCCATCAGTCCTGGAGGGGAGACCGTTCATGTCATGTCTCCTCCCTTTGAGTCTCCTGCCTGGGAGGGGGGCGGGGCACGGACAAGCTGTGAGTAGAACACTAGCACTGTAGGGGCTCTCTTCACAGAAATGTGTCTGGGTGAGGACAGAACCTGCTCTAAACAGGACTCGGTGGGGCTGGGACACAGCTCCACATGCAAAGCACTTGCAGTGCCGGGAGTCAGAGGCACGGAGAGCTCCTGGACTCCAGCCTCGTCGAATCAGTAGCTGCCAGGTCAAGTAAGAGACCCCGGGTCACAATAGAACCAGACAGAGGTAACTTCCCAGATGCCCCTGCCTTGTCCCTGTTCCCTTAGCAACACACATGTCAGGCTCCACCCTCAACTCCACCTCCAAGTACTGACTGGAGTGCTCCATCCAGCATGGACCAGTGTGTGTCCACTCCCCCGCTAAAGGACATCTCAGCAATCATGATGAAGAAAGTGCTGTGAGACTCTGTACCAGGACTTTGTGTAGATTTAAATTTTCATCCCTGGGCAGGTAGCTTGTTTTTTTTTTTGTTTTGTTTTGTGGGGTTGTTTTTGTTTTTGTTTTTTAGGACTATATATTCCCGGCTGACTTGGAACTTGTGGTGATCCTCCCAGCTCTGCCTCCTGGTGCTGGGTTTGCAGCTGTGTACCTCCACAGCTAGTCCCCACAGTTCTGGGAATCATCCGGGGCTTTATGCACACCAGGCAAACTACCAACTGAGCTCCATTCCCAGACACTGGTTACTGTTAGGAGCAGTCTTAGTTCTGCAGTCTGTCATAGGAAATTAGGTGCTGACTCTGCGTCCACAGTAGGGGACCATCTGGGGCACACATGTGATGAGGGGGGCTCTGCGGGTCAGTAAGGAGCCGAGAGGCTAGAGCCACACACACACTGGGCTTAATTCCTTAATCCATCACCTGATGACCTTGGGATGTCTACATTTACTCTTTGTGCCTCAGTTTCCTCACGGAGCAGGAGGAGGCTGTGGTGAGGTTAAGTGATGATTAGATGTGAAGGCATGGGGCCCAGCACCCCTGATGGGCACTGGGGTCCTCACCCATGGATACCACCTCACTCTCTCCCCTCTCTTGTGGAGCAGCTCTCTCATTTTCCCGAGACCTCACTGTCCTCAATGTCAGCTTAGCATCTGCTCCCGGGTGAGCCTAAAGCCTCATGAACCAATTGGTGCCAGGTTTAGGCTGTGTGTGTAACCCACTTAAGGCCAGTGAGAAGACATGTCTGGGATTCTAGGATAAAGGGAGCTTTTGCTCTTCAGGGTCTGGTGGAATGAAAGTGTGAAATTTGGAGCTGGTGAAGCCATCTTGTGGCCAGGAAGAAAGCCTAGGCGTGAAGGTAATATACCCAGAAAGACAGAAGATGAGGTGAAAAGGAGCTTGTTTGATATTGATGGTATTGGCTGAACCCCTGGATGGAACCACTCCTGATGTCCGCCTGGATTTTCAGTTCTGAGAACTAACACTGTTCCTTTTGTTTGTCTAATGAAGTCTGAATGGAGCTTCCTCAACTACAGTCAGATCACCCTGAGATTTCTGGGGTGTTCTCAAAGCGGTGGGTGCTGTTCCCATCCCTGGGTCAGGAGAGCGGCAGACAAGAGAAACATTGTTTTGTCCAGTGAGCCCTTGGCTTTTCTGTGTCTACACAGCTGTTTAGGAAGCTCCCCCACCCAGTGTCTCCAGCTCCAGTTGCCCAACGACCAGTAGGCTGGATCACACCACCGCATGGGGGCTGCTTTCCCTGTGGTCACACCTTCCCCCATGGTTTTTCCTGGGGTTTGAGAGAGTGTGAGGATCCTGGCTCCCACTTCTGCAGAGCTGGGTGGCTGCCAGGCTTCTCCACAGATTAACTTTGTGGACATGGAAGACCAGTTGGGATTCTTCATACATCCCAGGCTGGCCTCAGAGTCTCTATGTAGCCCAGGCTAGTCAGACTTTCTATAGAGCCCAGTCTTGTCTGGAACTTATGAGAGTCCTCCAGAGTACTAGGGTTACAGGTATTTGCCACCACATCTGACTTCTACTTATCCTCTGACTTAAGCCTTTCAGATGGCTTGGGATGGGTGGTCTGGCTCCTACCCTTCTCCCCTCAGAGAACCCTTTCATGACCCCAAGGTCGACCCCCAGTGACTAGGCTGGCGCTGATACACCAGAGACATCATGTACCTCTTTGTAATGTCATTTAACGTTTAATTCAGAAGTGTGCAGGGTCCCAAAAGCTCACCCAGAAAGTGCAGGTGGCACCTTGGGCTCCACAGGGGTCGACATTTGGCAGGTCACTGCGAATACAATGGAGGCTATATTTAGCTCAGGGCCCACACTGTCCCGAGTTGTGTCACATGGTGCCTGTGCCCCCTTGGCTGTGTCCTCCTTACAGCAGGTCCCAAAGTGGTGGCTCTGAGTTCCCTATGTGTCCTCGGAAGCAGGCTGCTGCAGGGAAGGGCTGGTGCCTTTTGTTTTATTTTTAACCGACATTGTATTTTGGGAGGTGCCCCTTGGCTAGATGTCAAAGCAGGTAAAGACAGGCACTGGGCAGAGACCAGGCCGCCCAGGGCTGGAAGCTCTAGAGATGGCGGTCCAGAGGCTGGGCTGAGCCTGGCTGGGCCCGACCTGGGGGTGTGTCTCCTAAGTCACACCCCCTCCTTGGTCCTTCCTGTCCACACTTGTAAAGACAAAAGCAGGACCCTGAGACCATTAAGGTCCCACTTTAGAATCTGTGAAGCTTCCCAGGTTTGGGGATGCTGAGTCTTGGGGACTCATTTACCTCCACGAAGGATATGTTCTCTTCACAGAGGCCCTTCAGTGTGTCCAGCCAAGCAGTAGGCAGGTCTAATGTTACTGCTGTATTTCAATCTTTGGGCCAGGCCAGCTCTCCCTGGGCCCTTCCTCCCCTTCCTCCGTCTCTTCTCTCCATAGTGTGTCCTGGGATCACCTCCCAAAGAAAGGAACTGCCCCTCATTGACAGTAACCCTCTTCCTCTTTCTTCTGGGGTGGGGAGATATGCTGGGACTCACAGCATCTGACATATTCTCCACACAAATCATTACAAACCCACAGGCTGGGTACCAGTGACCACCCAGAAAGTGTCCCCTGTCACATGTGTCTATGAGGACTGGGAGATGTGGAGAGTGTCCACAGTGGGCCATACAGTGCACCAAGGGAAAGGGTGTGGTGTGGTACCTGAGTGATGGAAATCTGGTGTCAGGAAAGGATCTTTGCAGGCAGGTGAATCTGGAATGAGCTGCCAGGTTTGGGAGATGGTGAACCGTCCACAGACTGAATGCTGGAGGGTCCCTTTCTGTGTGGCCTTCCCAGTTCACCTCCAGGTTAGAAGCGGTTGCAGTGAGTTCCTAGAAGCCCAGTTGCTCATGCTGGGAAGGACTAGTGGCCTCCTGCAGGATCTCCATGGGATATGTGAGGAAGAGCAGGTCCGGCAGGTCCATTTTCATGTCTCATGTTGTACAATCTGCCCAGGACACTCCGCAGTATCTCTGCCCCTCAGCTCAGGACAGTGTGGCAAACTGCTGCTTTCTTTTCTTCTCAAGCACATTCTCCGAGGCCCAGGCCCTGCTTCCCACGAGCCCAGGGTGGAGGCAGAATGGACTAGAAAAGGCTCTGCTAGGAGTCAAGATTCTTGAATATAAGATGAGCCAGCTGTGTGGCCTTAGGCAGGTGGTTTTCCCTCTCTGAACCTTGGCCCATCTTCCAAGAGAGCGTTGATTGATATTAGAGCTCCTTACCGTGTTTGGAGAGTCTTCCTTTGAGAAACAAATGAAATCAGCGACACTCTACCCTCTGAAGTGCATTTTCATCCAGAGGCACATTTGCCCTTCAGGCACACACTGGTCATCTTTTGATGGGACTGCCATGGTGCAGCCCTAGAAGCTCTGGAAGTAGCCCTTGGTCTTGGCACAGTCCCAAGTCAGGATCCTCCTTGAGTCCCTTTCATTGAAGAACTAACTCATCTTTCTCCTGCTGGGTTCAACCCTGAGTGGCTAGAAAGACCTTCAATCAACACTGTTCCTCCCTCTGGGAGCCACACCTATGACAGCCTGAAGGTGGCTCAAAGTCAGGGGTCCCCTTTGGCTACAGCCACAGCAGCTGCAGATCACTAGGCTCCTGTCAACCAATGGGGATGAAAACACAACCTAGCAACATGCTTGTTGCTCCACCCATCCAATCACATCAAAAGAGATGCAAAGCCAGACCTGGATGACTTGGACCCATCCCCCAGGACGTTACCCAGGAGGAAAAAAACAAAAACAAAAAAATGGAAGCCATCCCTTCTAATTTTCCAAGTCTTATTTAGTGAGAGTTTTAACTGGGTGTATGTGTGCAGATGATAGAGATACTCAGTGTCTTTGATGGGTTCAGCTAATGCTGACTTTTGACTTTTCTTTTTGCTCTGGTACATTTGGGTGGCACAGAGAACTGTGGGGATGCCTGGTGAGAGCCAGACACGCTGCTGGGAAGCATCGTACCAAGCATGTGATGCAGATGAGGCCTCAGTCAGAGGAGAGGGATAGATGCAGATCTGAGAAGGGACCAGGTCCCCAGTGGCTTCTTCTCTGGTTCCAGCGTGAGCGCAACACCTCAGAACTGTGATTTGCGGATAACCCTGCCCTGGAGGAGAGGAGCTGTTTAGACATTTTTGTATTCTTTTAGCTGTTGTGAGTGTGCGCTCATCGTCAGCCATTGGGCCCTCTGCCCATTTGGCTGGTCTTCCAGCCCCCAAGAGTGTTCTGTGGAACGTCAGCTAGAGAACCACAGATCTGGCCCACAGCAGTTTACAAGGGGGCAAAGGGACCTGCCCACAGTCATAGACAGTGTGAAACCCCCCAGGCCTCAGATGGTACCCATGCTGTCTTCTCTTAAGAGCATAAAGGAAAAACTGACTGTTTAGTGTTTTGCCTAATAACAGCTATAAAAATGTCAGCTTGGGAGCCAGAAGGCTGAGCCAGGAGGATTACAAGTTCAAAGATAGCCTGGACTACACTGTGAGATCCTGTCTCAAAACAAACAAAAACTAACCTGGCATAAAAGATTAATATAGTTACTTTTGACATGCTCCCAGAATACATCCAGGTACCCCAAGGACTCTGCTAACTGAATCCTGGAGCAGAGCAGCACGCCTTGGGCCTCCTCAAGGCATCAGCTCTCCTAGTGTGATACAAAAGGCTTGCTTGAGACATGTGAGCTTGGTAAGAACTAAGGGTGCTCTCCGGACCTTGAGGTCTAGAGAGATGGAGATGTGTGTGTGTGTGTGTGTGTGTGTGTGTGTGTGTGTGTGTGTGTGTGTGTGCATCTGTTGGGGGGAGTCAGAGAATGTGAGAGTTCCCACATGGGCAAGATGCACTTTAGGTTAGATGTTGGGGTTTCTCTGGGCAGTCATCGGCTATGTGCTGCAGTCAGGGGAAAGTGTGAGCCTGGCACACAGTAGGCTCAGCTCAACACTGGCAGGACCAACAGCCAGGCATGTGTGAGCAGGGCTGCAGTATTGCCTGTACCCACACATGAGCCGTGTCAGATTCACAAGGGCCAGTCTATCTCACTGTCACTTGTGTCCCCTATACTTTCTCCAATGGCCTTACAGTCAATACTGAATGATGGTGCAGCTGTGTCTGTCACTCCTGAGAAGTGCCACAGAGATGTCTTCCAGGTGTGCTGTGCCAGATCCGTAGTGACATGGAGAAGGTGAACCCACCAGTCATTCCTGGATGGATGACACTCCCACTTCAGCTTGGACCGTTGTCCTTGTCCTCACCCCCAGTACAGCCACAGTGCTGTCTTCTGTAAGGCTCTGAGATCCATCACCTCCTTATCCTAGCCTACTCTGTTCCTCCAAGTGCCCCTCCAGTGTTAGACCTGTGTCTTGGGAAACTTTGGGGGCACTGGCTGCTCAGAGGTCTCGGCTTCTTTCTGGTTTGTCTCTGTAAGTCACGTTCCTAGCAAGCTGCCTCCTCTGTGGATCCAAGGGCTGAGTCTGCTGACAGATGAGCACGTGGATACATGGACGCACACAGCCACCGGGAATGCCCATCCTCCATCAGTGGGGGTCAGATGCAGGGAGCTAGAACCAGGCAGGCCTGAGGCTGTCCTGCGGAGCTACGTCAGTCCGTGGTGTTTAGCTGGCCATGGAAAGCTGAGGTCCCTCCTGGTGCTGTTGTTCTCTGAAAGGACATTGTACAGTTCTTAGAGTCTCCTTGTCGAGGCTAAGAGCTGTACAACTAGCGAGTGTCCACCAAGAGTCCAGCTGGCCAACTGGGCACTTGCAGGTGGCCCTGCAGCCCAAGTCTCCAGGCATGTCATAGGTGACAGCAGACTTGCCACCATGAGACCCTGGCAGGATTTGCTGTAATGTCCAGGACTGCCTGCTTGGCTAAGAGCTTCCAGAACAGTGAGTACTTCCACCACATTTGGAAATTATTTGGTTGGCGGTGGCAGGAAGTAAGAGAACACATGATCCTCTTGGAAGCCTTGCAGGCTATGTGGAGCTTTGAGTAGGTCTCAGTGCCAGAGCTCTCTGATTCCCAGGGGCAGCATGGACCAGGACAGGGAGTCTAGGGGAAAAGATGGAAATCTGCAGACTCTGGATTTGGCTACTAGTGGTGGTCAGTTCAATGAGCATCCAGAACCCAGGGTGGATTATCACAGAGTATGCAAGGAAGGGAAAAGAATCCAGGGACACTGACCTAGCCTGCCAAGATGGGCTGTGCCCAGTGGCTGGCAGGGATCTGGGGAAGGACAAGGGATGTGCTCAGGATCACACCAATGGTGTCGTGGCCTGGCACCTTTCCTGCTTTGCAAGTCAGTATTCTGAGGACACACCCCCAGATGGTCCACGGGAGAGCAGAGGTGCGGGAGCTTGTCTCAGCCCTGGGATGGGTTGATATTATTGCACATTCCTAAGATGGTGGGCATTACACGTAGCATACAGGGGAGGCCAGGCCCTCGGGGACCAGATCATCCACGTCGCTCAGAAGCTCCCTTTCGCTGGCCGAGTTTGTGTTCTGAAGACGCCGGAGGCGGGCCTGGACCTGCTCCTGCTCCCGCTTCAGCTCCAGGTAGGAATGGGAGAAGGTGTGAAAGATGGATGTGGCTGGGAAGGCCATGATGAGGATACCACTAAGGATGCTGCTCAGAGCCACCATCTGGCCCGGCACACTGCGAGGGACCATGTCCCCATAGCCCACCGTGGTCATGGAGATGATGGCCCACCAGTAGGATGCGGGGATGCTGGTGAACTCTAGGACCCTTCCGGACTCATTCTCAGCCACGTAGACTAAAGGGGAGAAGAGGGTGACCGCCACACCCAGGAAGAGCAGCAGAAGGCCAAACTCCCGGGCGCAGCGGCGCACCGTGAGGCCCAGTGTCTGCAGCCCCAGCGAGTGGCGGGCCAGGCGCATCACATAGAGGATGCGGAGCGCCCGCAAAACACGCAGGACCAGCCCCACTTTCTCCAGGTAGGAGCTGCCACTCAGCCTCTCGCCTGCCTCCGGGGACTCCTCAGACACCACAAGAGACACGTAGTATGGAGAGATGGCCAGAATGTCGATGACATTCAGGGGCCCGCGGAAGAACTGACATTTGTTCCGGGCCTGGGCAAAACGCAGACAGAACTCCAGCGAGAACCAGGCCACACAGATGGTCTCCACCACGAAGATGTAGTAGCACTTTCTCGTGCATTCTCCCTGGGGTGAGAGGGCCACAGAAGCAATGGGTTAGTCAGCTTTCCTCCAACCCTGGCACAACGGCACAGCGGCTCAAGAGAGGAAGGATTTATCTGGGCTTGTGGCTTCAGAGGGACAGCCGGCCATGGTGAAGGCATGGTGAAGTAGCTCCATGGTGGGGTGTGAGGAAATGGCCTCCCTCTGAAAGCCTTCCTAGGTGTTCTGTGTGTGTACCATGATGGCCAGAAAACAATCGGGAATGTCATTCTTCAGACTCTGTCCGTCTTGTTTTATGGGATTTTTGTTTTCTCTTTTGAGACAGGGTCTCTTACTGGCCTGGGCCTTGCCAAATAGGCTAGGCTAGCTGGCCAGCAAGCCTATGAGCCAATATATGACTGAGCCATGTGCTTATGGACAAAGCAAAACATTGACAACTGTGGGGGTTTAAGATTTAAATGCTCTAAGTGAGAAAAGAAATTGCTTCCAGTGTCCAAGCCCAAGGAGTCCTAAACTGAAATGTTTTTGTCTGTCTATCAAAAAAAGGGAAGAAAATGGCCAAACCACTCCAAGCCCTGTTGGCCTGCCCAGGGCTGGGAAGCTTTCTCGCTGACTTCCATCTGGTCCCTTCCAGGGTCAGAGCGAAAGGATGCCATTGAGATGAAGCCCTGAGTGTGTGTGGCCCAGGGTCACATCCCCGTCAACACTCTCACTCACTCAGGAAGTTACTGATCCTCCTTGGACTTCCAGGAGTCATTGCCCTAAGGGACTGCGGTAAAGGATGGAATCGCGTCTACAGCAGCTATGAAGAGCTATGAAGATGCTGAACCCAGCAGATACACACGTGGTAACACTGTCACAGGCGGCAGCCTGCTTAGCCAGCAGGAGGCTAGCATTCCATAGGAAATAGAAAATGTTTTCAGAACCACTGAGAGGGCTTCCTCAGACATTTGCATCAGGACCCTGGATAACCTCAGAGCTTTGGGGCTGGATTCTCCAGGCTTTCCACAAATGTGCTGTGCAATCTAGAGGAGGTCCCTATCTGTCTCTGGGCTCCGTTTTTTGATGAAGAGAGTGGAACACAAGCAGGGTGCCAGCTACAAAGACAGATTCTTGGGTCCATCACGAACCCAAAACCTTGGAGCCGAGCTCAGGCATGGAATCTTGGGGTTATCTCCCCTTGACTTCGGAATCCTCAGAAGACTTAGACTCTGGGCTGCCTTTCCTACAAGGCCTGTTTCTTACAGACATCTGGGAATTTTCCTTAGCTTTAGAGGCTCTTGAGACCTGGGAATACCATCTCCAGATCAGTGACCAGCAGACTGAGCTTCTGCCTCTGGTGTTGGTGTTTGGGTATTCCAGCCATGTACACCCTGTCCTCCCTCCCCTGGTCTGGGCTGCCGGCCTCCCTGCACTGCAGCAGGCTGGCTCTGCCTAGTCACTCCACCTGCATCCTGCCCTGCCCTGCATCCTAACCAGCCTGGTACCTGCCTTCGAGAGCTGGCATCTCTGCAGCCATGCTGGGATACCCAGGACAGATGTAGGGGCTCCAGCTGAGGATGTGATGTCCAATCCAGCCCTGCCAATATTTGAAGGAAAGGGAAAAGGACAAATATCAAAAACAAAATACTTCTTCCTCTCTGAGGAAGATTGGCCATTGGGGCTGGGGCACTTTGGTCCACATTGTTCTCATCCTTCTGGATTTGGGCACAGAAAAATCTGGTTTGGGGATTCCCCCGATCCCAGGCAAAGGGTGGGAATTGGCCTCCGTGCTGTGTGCCTTGTGCCTGGTGGTAGTGAGGAAAGCGCTGTTCATTCCTAGAGTCAAGGTGAGCCAGGCCTGAGGAGGCTTCCATAGAAATCTAAGGACCACACAGGCACATAGGGCCTAGCAAGCCAGAGGCCACAGACAGGCAACACTGGGGACTAGGCGAGGCTCACCTCCAGGACTCCAACCATCAAAACAGCTGCTCAGAGAACCCTAGGGTTGACTGCGAAGGGGCCCAGGGGAACTTCTGGGGTGATGGAAATAGTCTAGATTGACAGGAGTAGGGTTGTGGGGGCGTGTCTTTTTTTTTTTTTTTTTTTTTTTTAAGAAGTTTTGATGTGTGTGCCTGAAAACCGTGATTAAAAGAAGGGCTGGCAAGATGGCTCGGGGGCTAATGCTCTTGCCGCCAAGCCAAGCTTGACAACCTGCCTAGACCCACATGGTGGGAGGGAAAAACAGCTCCAGAAAGTTGTCCTTTGACCTACACACACACACACACACATACACACACACACACACATACACACATACACACACACACACACACACACACACACACACACACACACACACATACACACACACACACACACACACACACACACACACACACACACCCTGCTGGACTGGGTTGCAGGGAACTTGAATTTAAGGAACAACCTGGCAGCTTCTCCGGGGGTTAAACTCACACTCAAGACTCAGCAAGGTCACACCTATGTACTCACACCCAAGAGGAATGAAAATACACATACAGGAACAGACACAGCATTCCATACTTTGTAGTCAAGGATGACCTTGAACTCCTGATCCTTCTGTCTCCACCTTCCCGGGACTGGGATTACAGGTGTGTGCTACCATGCTAAGTTTAGCCACTGCTAGGGATCAAAGCTCTGGGCAGGCCGGGCAAGCACTCTACCAACTGAGCTCCAGCCCCCAGCCAACAAGTGGAAACATCACACAGATCATCAACCAATGTACCTATGACCCAGTGAGCACCGCAAAGCCAGATGGCAGCTGTGGCAGGGCAAAGGAATCTGGGTTTCCATGGGTCACATCCCCAGGGTCTGAGTTCCTCAGGGTGTCATTGAATCGACATACCCTTTGACTCTCCTCAGAAGAAGCTGGCCAGCCTTAACAGCTGGCTGGCTAAATAGAGCCACTCTCCCCCTGCCTGCTGTCCCCTGAGGACAAATAAGAAATACAAGGCATATATTAGAGAGAACACCGCTTTCTATGTAAATGTCGGGGCACTGTCTTGAAAGAACAAAGATCTTAAGATTGCCTGGCCTCAGCCTCTCTGAATTATAATCCCCAACAAGAGCATAGACTCTCCAGAGGCTGTGACTCTCGGGGTGTATTAGGGCAGCCTATCAAAGGTGGCTCCACCAGAGAGTAAGCACAAGGACACTGTGACTGTCTCTGGACATGAATCCCTCTTATCCCATGGAACACAGCCGCCAGTTTCTCAGGGACAGCTCTGGGCTGCTCAGGACTGCAAACTGGTGACCTGCCCCTAACTTGATTTCCCCAGTAGTGTTAAGCCCAGCTTGGGTTTATACTTTGGTAATTTTCAAAGCATTAGGCCCTGCAACACCCTCACCCCTCTGCACAGGGAAACTCCTGGCTCCCCCACACTGTCTCCTCTCCCTGAAGAAGGGCACATGTGTGGAGACCAGGTGTGATTCTTCAGCAGCTGCGACCCGGTGTCCTTGACTGGGGTAAGGACACGGCTTACTCTGCCCTAATTTTCAGAAGCAAAATCCCTGTGTAGATATTCCCATGGGCAAGCAGGCTTTTCCATCACACGTTTTGTGCTAAAGACTGGTGGGGGTAGGGGGTGCTCCTGACTGCGACTACAGTCTCTGGGCAGGGATCAGCTGTTTGAAAGGTTGAGGATTTGAATGTTACATATCTTTTTCTTTCGGAGAAAACTTTGATCAGTCAGATGAAACACATTTTGTTCAACAAATATTTGCGCATGGTGGTTCTCTAACTGGAATGTTCTCTGGTCCTACTGTATTGTGTGGGGCACATCTGTAAGAAAGCAATGTGTGGGGTGTGTGTGTGTGTATGTGTGTGTATGTGTGTGTGTGTGTGTGTGTGTGTGTGTGTACATGTGTATGCATGTGGTGTGAGTATGCGTGTGTGTTTTAAATCTGCCTTCTTTGTCTATTATAATCTAATATAGATGGAGGGTCCAGTGATAAGAGCTGCACTGTGAAGTTGGAGAGAAGCAATGTTCTACCTTAGGAAACTGTCTCATTCTAGTGTCAAGCCCTTCAGCCACCCTCCTAACAAATGCAGGCTCCTATTTCATTTCTGAAGTTAGCTTCAGCTGTCGACTTTACAAAGCCGAGAGACTCTCAGAGAGTCTCAGTTGAGGAACTGCCTTGATCAGATTGCCCTTCTGGCATTGCTAATGTATGTAGGAGGGCCCAGCCTACTGTGGGTGGCACCATCCCTAGGCAGGGGGCCCTGGGCTGCGTAAGAAAGCTGGCTGAACAGTAGCTGGCCAGTAAGTAGCCTCCTCCTCCTCCTCTCTGGTTCCTGAGTCAGGTTCCTGCTTGAGTTCCTGCCCTAACTCCTCTCACTGATGGCCTGTGATCTAGAAGGGGGAGCCAAATCAGCCCTTTCCTCTCCAACTGTGTTCGATCAGGATGTTTATCCCAGCCACGGAAAGTGGATTAGGACATGGCCCATATGGCTCCTGGGGTCCTTGGTGTTTCACAGCTCTCTGCAAAGAGAGGGTGGGAATGTACAGGAGTTGTGGAAGATTAATTTAAGATGTGTTACGTTTGTTTAATGATGCAAAGATGTGCTGCATTCTTATATGTTGCATTTGTTTAACTCTGTGAACCTGTGTTACTGTGTCTGTCTAAAACACCTGATTGGTTCAATAAAGAGCTGAATGGCCAATAGCAAGGCAGGAGAGAGAAATAGGTGGGGCTGGCAGGCAGAGAGAACAAATAGGAGTAACAGAGGTGGCTGGCCCCTCTCCTTCCTCTCTTGTTCCTTGATCTTCTCTCTTTTCCCTCCTTTATTAAAACATCTTAAACTAAAATGACCTTGACCCAGAGGAAACATTCTACCTGTGTGTAGTTGGTGGGTTTTTTTGTTGTTGTTGTTTGTTTGTTTTTTAAACTCTTTGCCCTTTGTGGGGCCTGCCACCCAGCTCCCACCCAAATAAATAGTTGGAGACTTATTCTTACATATGAATGCCCGGCCTTAACTTGGCTTATTTCTAGCCAACTTTTCTTAAATTATCCCATCTACCTTTTGCCTCTGGGCTTTTATCTTTCTCTAGGCTATAGTCCTTTCTTTCCTTCTTACTCCGTGGCTGCTAGTGTAGCTGGGTGGCTGGAAGGAGAAAGAAAAGGAGAAGGAGAGGAGAAGACCAGGGGCCAACAGATCTCTTTAGCCCTCTGCTTAAAACAACAACAAAAGGGCTGGAGCTATCGCTCAGTGGTTAGAGAGCTTGCCTAGCATGCAGGAAGCCCCGCACTCAATTCCCAGCCCTACATAAAACAGGGTTTGGTGGTGCACACTTGTAATCCCAACATTCAGCCAATATAGGCAGGAAGACCTGAGGTTTAAGGCTTCCTTGAGCAAGTTGAGGCCAGCCTGGACTACACGAGACCCTGTCTCAGAAAAAAAAAAACAAAAACAAAAAAAACCACAACTATTTCCATGGTTTCCTAAGTGTCCCTGGGCTGCGCCATGGTCCCTGATGGGCAACCACTCACCTTGTCCTCCTCAGCTCTGAAGTCGGGCATGGTGCTCACACACAGACTGACAGCCGTGGTGGCCACGAAGAGAATGGAGAGGCAGGCAAAGACTTTCCCAGGCAGCCCTGACTGTGGGTCCTCCACCATCTCTCGCAGCTGGTTCATGCTGCGGGCCCATCGTGAAGTGTGCACTTCGGAGTGGCAGGTCTGATGCTGCTGCTGGCGCTGCATAGCCTCCTCCCGCCGCAGCTCGGCCACCTCCTCCAGCTTCTTCATGAGCTTGCGCAGGCAGCAGCGTTCCAGGTTGGCTTCCTCGATGCCCCAGTAGCTCAGCTCCTCCCGGAAGGACAGTGCGCACATCTCCCGCAGAAGCACCAGCTTTCCCGCGGCCAGGAAGCTCACAATCACCCCGAAAGCGCTGGGGCTCCTGTCAAAGAAGAACTCCTGGCTGTTCTCATCATAGTCATCACAGAGCTGTGTGATCTCCTCATAGCTGCGACACAGACGGAGCCTGCTCAGGCGGCTCAGCGGGAAGGCATCCAGGGTGCTCCAGGGCAGCAGGTACCGCCGGCCACCCACGTTCACCAGGATCTCCTTCTTCAAGTCGGCCTCTGGAGAGGTGTCCAGGGTGCCCACCTTCCGGGCCCTGCGGTAGTAAAGGCCCTTGACTGACTGAGGCTCTGGACCAGGCCAGAGCTGGCTCAAGGGGCTGCAGGAGCCAAAGTGATGGTGTCCAGGTCGCAGGTGCCTGTCTCTGGAAGACATGGGCATTGCCACAGAGTGCGGGCCCAGGGAGCAGCGGGCTCACTTGTCTGCCTCCAGAGGAAGAAGAAGAAGAGAAGGAAGAGAGGATGAGTCTCAGTAGTACAAACATTGTTGCATTTGTGTACTGTAGCTGCAGCTGCTCCAGCCATCTCTGAACCTTCTATTTACTTCTTGTTTACTGGGCACCTACCAGATGCTTGGGCCATGCCTTTGGACCCATCTCTACCCCCGTGGAAACATGTACATCTAGGATACAGATGTGCTGCCCACTACACTAAGGAGGTACTTCATGCACATCTCTGACACAGACATCTTGTGGATGGAGATGTGAATAATGGGTCCCGAACTGTGCCATCCCAGACTGTGTGGTCTTGAGCATGTGGCTTCCCCTTTCCCTTCTCAAAAGATAAAGCTTGTGTCAACCCTGCAGCGGGGGCCAGTGTGGCCGTGTTCTCTGCAGAGAACCACAGAGGAATGACTCAGTCTCTCTGGACCCTCTGCTTGGCCTGTGTGAGTGGGGAAGCTTGAGTTCCCACACTGTTGAGCACAGAACCAGGTCAGGTCAGGAGCAACACACATGCAGTGCCCATAATGGTCACTTCTAGGAGCTCCAGCACACCCAGTTCCTTTAACAGACTCATGCCAACCATCCCGTGAGGCAGACAGGCACAGCTCACCTTTGCGGATGAGGAAACTGAGCCCAGCATCTTGCCCGTTGTTTAGCAAACGCAGTTCAGTTAAGACTCAATGGTCAGCCACCAAATGCTCAGGAGCCAGGGACCACGACAGCCTTGTCAGTCACCTGGCTCTCAGGAGCTCCCCATGGAAGCTTCACCCCCTGCTTTTCTCTCTCAGAGGACCCTGCTATGAGGGTGGAGGACACCTCCCACTTTGGACAACTCTTTCCTACTCAGACATGCATCTTGTGTTTGCCTCAGCCACCCTTGCTTTGTGACCTTGAAGTGGTTACTTCCGTCACTGGGCTGTAGTTTTTTTATCTGCAGAGCAAAGAGGCTTCTAAATGCTCTCTACATCACAGACCTATTTAGGGGCTCCGCTTAAGACAAGCGTTTTTGATTTTTTAAGTCGCTCACATTTTTTAAAAAACTGTTTCTATAATATGTCTCATTGTCTCAACTGTGTGGCCATTTCTTCAACCATTCACTCCAGCCAGAGCTGTCTCCAGGCACCTATAACCTTCCATTGAGAGAGGCTCTCCAATCAGGAGCCAAAGGAAATGAGAGCGCCTTTCAGTTTCTGAGCCTGCGGGATTCCGGCGGCGGCGGCGGACAGTGAGGAGCGAGTCAGGCCCGCTGGGCTCCACACTTGCGCTGCAGTGTACTGTTATTTTGCATGCGTTACTTGGTTCACAGCACACAGCCAGTGGGCGGGAGTGCAGCCCGCAGAGAGAGGAGTGTGTTGAAATCCAGGGAGTTCTTTCCAAGCTTTCTCAATTTCCAGAGCAAAACCTAAGACCTAAAGTGCTGAAGGGACTCGTCCAAGGTCACACGGCAAACCTGAATCCAACCCGAGACTCGGCTTCCTGGCCTGGGGTTCTGTCCGGAGCCAGAATCTTGCTCCATCTCCTTCCACTGAACGGATCTGATTTTGCAGTTTTTGCTCTGCTTAACAACTGGCCAGCAAAACTCCTCCAGAGCCCGGGGGAAGTAATTCACTCCAAACATCCCTTCTGCCAAGCTGTTTAGCCCAGTCACTGCTCTAGAACATCCCACCCCAGAACAAACAAGTTCCTCTGAAGTTCAACTCACCACTTGTCTTAGGAAGCGTGTTCCCAGCCTGTTCTCTGCCGGGCATGGGGAGCCCATTTCTCAGTGATCAGGAAAGAGGCAGTTTTGTGTCAGAGAGGTAGGGGGGGGAAACACAAAACCAAAACCAGCTGCCTGGTAAAGTCAGTGTCCAGTCCTTCTCCGGCCTCCTCTAAAGAGCAGAAGTTTCTTCATTCTGAATCTGCAGAAGAGCAGGGGTGCAGAGTGGCTTTCTAGAAGGACCCCCAAAGTCCTCCTTCCTCCTGAGAGCTGAAGGTCCGGATGCTGCAGAGAGCTGGGCCAGCTGTCCTGCCTCAGCAGCGGACTTGGTGCTCCAAGTCCCACAGGGACAGCCAGCATGGTCCTGCCCAGGGTGGGGGGTGGGGGTGCTGACGGGAAGGGCTTAGGATTAATCTCTCCATCAGCCAGGCAGCAGGCGGGTGCCGCGGCTGCTCTGCCAACCACCGGGGAGGCAAGGAGAGTGTCTGCCCTCTCTCCTCTGTGAGGAGGAGCTGAGCTCAGGAGACGCTGGGGCAGCTAGGGACTTGCGGACCAGGACCAGGCTATTGTAACCTCATGGTGCACTAAGGTGGGGAGATGCCTCAGTAGCGGTTGCAGGGAAGTTTGTAGGTTGGGACAGACTGACCCAGCCTCAGAGCCTAGGGTCGGTATCGAGGAGATAGCTTAAGGGGTTAGGGATGAAGATGCTTGGAGCCAGATTCCAGCCTCCAATGTGAGTCCCCTTAGGCAGGTGGGTTAGTGTCTTCATACTCAATTTCCTTATCTGTGAAAGGTGTATGAGTTGGGGGGAGGGGGCGGAGGGGCTGGGCTCCCAGGATACAAAATCCAAGCCACAAGCTTCTCCTGTGAGCTTGGCCCCTGGTGTAGGTGGGGAGACACCGCAAGGGAGTTTCTTGCTGTGTGTCCTTGGTGAGTCACTTCACCTCTCTGGGCCTCCATTTCTTCACCCATCACATAAGGACAGTGGGAGCAGCAAAGGCTGAAATTGCAAAAAGCATGTTAATGTAGGGCTTGCTGTCCCCGGGTCCTTCATTTGCTTAAAAGGTTTTGCAGCCAGGTGACCTTCACGACTCTGTTCTGTCTGCGAGGGCCCCAGAGGCTTGTTCAAGGTCACCATGCTAATTAGCAGCTGTGCCAGTTTAGGACCATCACTGAATTCAGACAGGAGCTGACGTGGGGGTCCAGGAGCAAGGGGGATCAGAGCCTGGCAGAGAGGTGCAGGAACAAAAGCAGGAGAGAGAAGCTGGCAGGGCGGGGGGGGGGGGGGGGTTGTCCTCAAAGGGTATTATGGGAACCCCAGGGCTCTGCAGACATGGTGAGGGGCCTGGCCGATGGCAGGAACTGGAAACAGCCGATTTTCTCTGCCTTCCCACTTCTCCTCCCTGCTGCCTGCACCAGTCACAGCTGAGAGGCTCGAGGCAGAGACCTAGCATCTTTGGGAGGGGTGCTGAGGCTGTCCCTTCTCTGACTCTCCAGTTCTCAGCTCCTCTGAGTCAGTATCCAGAATTCTCTCTCCCCAGAGCGGGCTCTCTGTTCTCCATCTAATTGAGTCCTGTCTTAGTCAGGGTTACCATTGCTGTGATGAAACACCATGACCAGAAGCAACTTGGGAAGGAAAGGATTTATTTGACTTACATATCCGGAGTAACAGAACCCTGAGGGAAACCAAGGCAGGAACTCAGACAGGGCAGGAACCTGGAGGCAGGAACCTGATGCAGAGGCCGTGGAGGAGTGCTACTTATTGGCTTCTTCCTTATGACTTGCTCAGCCTGCTTTCTTATAGAACCCAGGACCACCAGTTCAGGGTAAGGGATAGCCCCACCCACAATGGGCTGGGCCCTCTCCCATCAGTCACTGATTAAGAAAATGCCCTATAGGCTTGCCTATAGCCGGATCTTATGGAGGCATTTTCTCAACTGAAGTCCCCTCCTCTCGGGTGACTCTAACTTGTATCAAGTTGACATAAAACTAGCCAGCACAAGTTCCTTAGGTTAACCACCCTCCCTGGAGTCCATCTTCCTCTCTTAGTTCTCTCTGGGCATGCAAGGTCTGGATGCCAATCTAGACTCCCCATTCAGGGCTCGGCCAGTGAAGTTCTTGTTGCAGAAGCTTGCAGATCTAAATTTGATTCTTTAAAACCCATATGGTAATACATGCCTGATATCCCCGTGCTGGGGAGGCAGAGACAGGGGGTCCCTGGGTCTTGCTGGCCAACCGGCCTGACTTAGTTGAGGAGGTCCAGGCTAGTGAGAAGACATGGGGTGGGGTGGAGGGGTGTCCCATGGGGTTCCCCCTTCAGGACTAGGATTAGGTTCTGCCCCGACTGTCCAGCCAGGCCTGCTGTGCCATGGCTATGTGACCCCCAAGGCAGGTTTTCTTCCCTCTCCGTGCATCAGGGCAGCTGGGTGACTCCGCTTTTAAGCTCCCTGGTCTTTGTGAGTAGTGAGTGAATTGTTGTCACAGTACAGGGCACAGCACCTGGCATGCCACCGTACAGGTGCAGGAGTTTTGCCCATTTCTCTCTTAGCCTCGTCTCTGTCTCTTCTCACAGCGGTGCAAGCATCGTTAACAGAGCGTGAACGGACAGGGGCACCCAGGCTGAGGCTGCTGTGGATGGGTGGTATGTGATGCCCTGACAATGGCTAGCTTTGTAGGGAGAAAACTTCCTCAAATATGGCACTTGCCAATTACAATGGCATGAATACTCGGGCCAGTATCAAGTGAACAGCATTGCTTTGTGAAGGGCTGGGGAAGCAGGTGAAGGGTAGACTTGCACACCTGTGATAATGGGTTCTGGAACATCACCGAACTTGTGGCTTTCCTGCATGGGTCAACAAAAGGCTCCGCAGGGCAGGATTCTTAGTTAAGCCCTGGCTGAGCATCAGCTCTCAAGCCTTGATTGTGTACTCCTGTAATGGGCAATGCCCACCTGTGGGGTCTCCCTGGAATTCTAATGGGCAGCTGGTGTGATGGTATGGTCCAGGAAAGGCAGAACCCTGAGAGCAGTACTCAGAGAAGGATTGGTGGTGTTTAGCCACACCTTAGCGTACTGGGCAGGTTCCCTCTCTACACCTCCCCTTCTCCCCAGGACCCATTGACCCTCTCGTGGCTGCCCTCAGTGTTGGCAGGCCGGAAAGGACACCACTGCCATGGGGCATCTACACAGAGCCTGTTCTGCCTGGTTTGGGGTGAGCACAGCCTGGCAGGCTCCCTTCCTGGAATGGCTGTCCTTTCCAGCAGCTGATACACGAAGTGCCTCTCCCAGGCCACAGCGGGCAGGTACACTGTGGTCTCCTGAGCAGTCAAGCTGGGTTCTGTATCAGGCACTGTCACCTAGGTGGCTCTGGGCTTTAGTAGGTTGTGGAACACGGACTACCAGGCAGCACCTGCCTCACCAGGGGATGAACTAGAGTTTCAGGGGTGCCCTTAACATGGTAGCAGGAAATTTTGGGTCGGTGTCAGTCTCCAGGAGAAGAGTTGGCTCAGGGTAGGAGGTGATGATGGTGGTAGCGTGGGGGTGTAGACAGCAGGGGGTGAGAACTGCCACACCAGGAGGCCAGTGCTGTAGGCAGCAAGGAGCTTCCTATCACACACAGAGACAAGAGACTTGACTCCTGTGGGGTTTGAGTTTGGGCATTTCTCATACCCCGTTTAACTTTTCCTGCACCCCGCAACAGCATGTCAAGAAGTATTTTGCTTTGTAAAGCTGTGGGGACATATTTATCACCTTGCCTTGGGAATCTTGGCCACGAGGTGTTCATTTAATCTGCAATTGGCACCATCTCTGGAGCAGACGCAGCGCCTGTCCCCTTGGGCAGCTGCAGAGTGACACAACAATGCAGTTGATGACCTCCACTCGAACGGCTCCTGAGAGAAGACGGGTACATTAAACACCCTATAGGAATTCACTTGGTTTCTCTCACTGTTTGGAACCTTTAGGGGCTTACAGAATCACCTTTTGTTTTGTTTTGGTTTTTCAAGACAGGTTCTTTTTTTTTCCCCCAAGGGGAACACTGCTTGCTTTCTTTCTTTCTTTCTTTCTTTCTTTCTGCCAAATGCTGTTTATTGAAGGAGGGAAGAGGTCTTAAATACAGGCTTACAGCACAATGGGAGAATCCTGAAGGGCAGAAGTTCGCTACCTGATGTTTTACAATCTTGCATCTAAGCTGTTAACGCCCATTATGCAGGATACACAGACAAGGAACTTCCCTTAAGCATTTAGGAGGGTGGAACCTGGCAGGGAATTAGCATAGGGAGGATATCAAGGTCAAGGTCAGCAAGCAAGGCAACAGTTACCCAAAATGGGGGCCAGGACCGTATAGGTCCCCCTTTTACTAAAAAATGAGCTTCTGACTTAGGTTGCGTAGGAAGTCAGCAGGTCACCTTACCCGTCATGGAGACGCCTGCCCAGGCCACACAGGCACTCTGTCTTAGGTTGGTGAGCGCCCCCCAGGCATTACCCATCTCTGAATACTCATTATCATACAGGCTCAATTGTGTGTGAGTTGCAGAGTTAACTGCTGCCAAAGATCTCAAAGTGGCACTGGGCTTGCAATCTGTGTGTTTGACACAGAAAAGACCAACAGGTCTGTGTAGCCCTGGCTGTCTTGGAACTTGCTCTGTAGCCCAGGCTGGCCTTGAACTCAGAGATCTACCTACCTCTGCCTCCCGAGTGCTGGGATTAAAGGCGTGCGCCACCACACCCAGCTTTGTCTATCTTTTTTTAACACTCAGTCTTGGTTTGGGGGTCATGAATGCCTGAGAGAAGCAGGCAGACGACGGGGAGGGGGACTTAAGAGCTATAAGGGGCAGAGCCTGAGGTCTACAGGGGGCGACAATGGTGGAGAATGAGAAGCAGGATGGCCAAAGCCTGGTGTCCGCATTCAGCCTACTGGAAGGGAGCAGACACTAATAGCCCACGTGTGTCTGACCAGTGTGGATAAAACAGTGGGTGT